TATGGTATATTCCTGATATTTTATTTTTAAGAAAACTAATAGCGTCTGATACATTCTCTAACCCATCACTTTCATTATTGTCTCTTAATTAAAACTATATTTTTCCCATCTTATCGTGACTTGAAATATGTTTAGAGTGAACACCAGCTTCAGGGGTTAATTTATAATTCCCTTGTAGCAGAATGCTGAAATTATTTATACTCAAACTATTCACCTGAAATTACTTCCCCATGCAACCCATCCGTTTGGTGTGAGAATTCTGTGACGATAATTACATCTCTTAAAGCTATCCAAAGTTAGAAAATAGTCGTATTTACATTGTTAAGGATTACACACTTCCACTATTAAATGACACCCATTATGTGTAGCAAAAATTGTAAAACGGTCAAACCTTACGTCACCGTCCCAAGCAGATCCGTTCTAATATAGATAATTAACAACTGGTGGCAAGTGACAGCATAAACAGAGAGCAAACACAAGTTTTCTTCTGTTCAGTGAACTACGTACATTGTGCACTTAAAAATCATTTTGGTTGTGTTGTGTTCTCTGAGCTGGATTGTTTAATAGTGAAGCTTTCATCGTCTAGCTAGACGATATCATCAGCACTAACTACAGTATGAAGTGAGCTGTCAATATCTCTCCGTCAGTGATTTAGTGACTTGCTCTGAAGATGTGGTCTGTGATTGGTTGTTTCCTTCGATTGTTGTGTCATTGATTGTATAGACTTTCCTATTGGCTGTCCCTCTGCTTCACCTCTGACCTTTCTGTCGTTGATCGTTTTTCTTATTGGTTGATAGATTTGGTCTTTGTCTATACATCTATTGGTTGCTGACTGACTGACCTAAATGCCAAGCTTCTAGGAATTCTCTGACATTCTTTGTGTTTCCTCTCTCCGTCCAAAATTTCTACATTGTCGAAATTGAATTCATGTCCATAATTATCCATAAGCATTGAGATGAGAGACGAAATGTCGTGGCATTTAGTAGCCAATTGGTGTTCATGTAGACGAAGGCGAAGATGGCGGCCACTTTTTCCAAACTACTGTTGACTACAGTTATTGCAGTTGATTTTGCAAATGATATTCAGTTTGTCTTCTTTGGTTGTTGCATCCTTTGGTCTGCATAACAGTGTTTGGAGGGAATTTGTTGGTTTATGAGCCACACCAATTCCAAGTGGTCTCAGCAATCTAGTCGTGATTTCTCATATATCATCTATGTATAGTAGGATAATGCATTTGTTGATTTCTGTTGATGACTCTGAAGTTGATGATGCACAGCATAGGCATCTTCTGATAAAGTTTCGTGGGTAGCCGTTCTTCTTTAGGGTGGACATCAAGTAATGTTCTTCCTTTCTCCGTGAAGCTGTTGTGCAGCAGCGTGTTCTCGCTCTTTTGAATAGAGCCTGCACTCAACTGGTTTTGTGAGTTGTTGGGTTGTTGCTATTGTAGTTGAGGATTTGGTCAGTGTGTTGGCTTCCTGTACACTTAGGTTTCCAGCTTCCCGTATTTGTTCTGTTGACCAGAACCTCCAGGAATGGTAGTTGGTTGTTTGACTCTTTCTTTATTGTGAATTCGATGTCATTGAAAATGTTGTTGATCAAACTGCAGGTGTTTTCTATATCATCCTTTTTAATGATGACGAAAGTGTTGTCCGCATAGCGAATCCAAATTTTTGGTTTGATCAGAGGTAGAATAATGGTTTCCAGTCTCTGCATCACTGCTTCTGCTATTAATCCGGATATCGGTGATCCGAATGGAGTACCTTTCATCTGTTTTTATATCTTGCCGTTGAATTGGAAGTATGTTGTCATACAAAGGTAGATGAGTTCCATCAAACTTGAACATATGAGTTTTGTGCGTTGTTTTGTCTTCGTTGAGTAGGAGGGATATCGTTTCCTTGGCCAGTTTAGGTTTTATTCATGTGTATAGTGCTGTGACACCAAAGGATATCATTAACTCGTCGTTTTCTATGTTAATGCTTTTGATCTTTTCTAAGAATTCCGTTGGTGACTTGATGGAATGTCCTCATGATTGGACGAGGTGTTTCAGTTTTCTCGAAAGCTCTCTTGATATTTTGCATGGTGGAGTTCCCGGAAGTGAGACTGTTGGTCGTGCTGATGATGTCGTCTAGCAAGACAATGAAAGCTTCACGATTAAACAACCTAGCTCAGAGAACACAACACAACCAAGACCATCCACCTGAGCTACAAATATTCTCCATTATTACATAAAAATGATTGCTTCAGACTCATGAACAATAAGTCATTTGATCTCATAAAGTGCCTGCCAAGGATCATTCCAGAACGGAACAGGCATTCTCGACTGAATTTCAAATGATTTTCAAAATAGTACATGTACATCTTTCTATTTCGCAGCAGCAGTAATGAAAGTCAGCATAAGGTTATTCAAGGAGTAAGTTTATGTATTACACCTATAAAGACCCACAGAGATTTCAGCGTATTCCTAGAAAAAGCAAGTTGATAAAGTTTCTTCCTGTTATCTCTTACCTTTTATACCTTTTCCTGTCTCTGTTTGGCATACGATTTCCTCAAATATATGTGACAAAAATTTTATAAAACCTTAACATGCGGTTTAGAATAATAAGGTCTTGGTGGTGGTCGAGAATATTTGCAGCCCAGGATGATAATTTTGATGATGTTCTGTTATCTGAACTGGATGGTCTAATCGTGAAGCATTCGTTGTCATTTCAGACAACATTATTGGCACAAACTTCAGAAAGAAATGAGCTATGGAATTTTCTCTTCAAGTAAGTAGCTTTTCAGCTTGTCCAGATGACCTAAAGTGTGAATGGTTGTTTCTGTTAAAATTTTAGCATTGTCTCCATGCGAGTGTCAACTGTCTGTTTTGCTCAAATAAACTTTAACCTTCTTGTTGTTTCTTATTGGTTAGTAGATTTCCGAATTTATTTGAAGTTCCAAACCTTGTATGCTTGTCTCAGCTAATAGATTTGTCAACATACACTCACAGTAGTTACAAAATCAGCGCAATTAATCACCTCAACCCTTCAAATCATCTATAGCTAGGGTAGCGTAACACGGTCACTAAAATCCATTTTCAGATAGACCGCATTTGAATTAAGATTTTGATAATTACTTTTAAGTGAGAAAAGCACAAGTCAGTGGAAAAGAATCAGCCACAAAGTGAGTTAAGCAAATAATTTCATATCAACTAGCAACTATTGAACATTATTGTACATGCAATAAAGCGGATTATTTAATGGATAGTATAAAATCAGTTAGAATTCAGAGGTCCTGAACACCATAAAGTTGCTGAAAACCAGGAAAGCAGCAGGATCAGATGTAATTCCGCCAGACGCAACGGAAACACGCAGACACAACAGCGGACATGATCACACCACGACTGCAGAATGTTTGGAAAAAAAGAAAGGAAAGGTACATACCGATTGATTGGCAGAAGGGCTACCTTGCAAAACTCCTAAAGAAGGGAGACCAATGTCTTTGCAAGAACTGATGTAGAATCATCCTGCTGCCCGATCCAAACAAAATATTAGGCATCATTTTGGAGAGACTTAAAAGATGCGCTGGATTCAAAATTCCGACCGAAATAGGTTGGCTGGCTGGCTGGCTTCAGGAAGAACAAATCATGTGCGGATCAAATTGCAATGCTACACTATGCATCATCATAGAACAGAGCATAGAATGGCGGTCAGTTGGGTCTTTACCTCAACTTCATCTACAGCGTCAACCGAGAAGCAATTCGGCAACTGTGTCAACACTACGGTCCTAGTGCCACAAATCTCTATCAACCTCATTCAATAGCTATATACTATACTACATGATGAGGCCACTTGCCAAGTGATTGATATCACAATGAAAATTTCAGTGACGTGTTTGAAGTTAAGACAGGAGTGAGACAAGACAAGGTTGCCTACTGTCTGTCACGGATGATCTTTCTGATTGTGGTCGACTCGATTCGACTGAGTCATGCAACAGATAACTGTGAGGAGCTGTGAGAGTATGGGCATACACTGTCTGGACTGATGAAAAGACCCCAGAAGATATGGATTTCCCTGCCACAGATGGTGATTTATGTCTAATGTCTTGTCTCTCAAACTCGAGGATCTAGAGGCAAAACCAACAAGTTGGGAGGAGAGGTGAGGTGAGGTGAGGTGAGGCGTGGCGTGGCAGGAAAGGGAGGGAGGGAGGGAGACAGGACTTCAAGGGAATGTAGGGAAGATGGAGGAGATGAAGATACCCAACCAACAACAACTACAACGAGCACCAATCACCATGAATGGGCGAAACCTAAAGGATGCTGTGTCTTTCACCTACCTATGCAAGGTAGCATCGTTTCAATTACAGGTGGGGGCAGCACGCATGAGAATGTCAAAACCGGGATCGGAAAGACAGCAAGACAGGTGTTCATTAATCTGAAATCAGTGTGGAGATCTACTGTACTCAGCATAAAGCGTGAACAAGATGCAGATTTTCAACACCTATGTCAAGTCAGTACTTCTATATGATGATTGAGAGACTTGGCGCGTTACTAAAATCATTTCCAACTGACTACAGACATTCACCAACAGCTGCCGCCTATGCTCACTCGATAGTGAAGATCATATGGATTGCCAGAAAGAATAAGCAACCAGGAACTCTGGCTTGCAACGAATCAACCAAGAACCTATCACCTAACAAGTATGGAGAAGAAGGTAGAGATGGATTGGACTGAAGATACACTGAGAACACCATTTAGAGATATCACGTGCCAGACGAGGCCCTCGAATGGAACCCAAAGGGGAAACGACGAGTTGGGCGTGCGAGGCGAAGGCGAACTGAAGGAGATCGTATGAGGAAGAAATGAAAGTTTGTGGGCAGTGTTGGAGCCAGGTTGAAAAGACTTCCAAGAGCAGAGTGGAATGGTGACGTGCTACTGAGGCGCTATGTTCCACTAAAAACCCAAAGAACAGATAATATAATAATAATAAGAAGAAGAAGAATGAAATACTGTCGTTTCAACTAACCTTCTGAAAAAGTTTAATTAATTCATCTGAATGTTGATCGCCACAGATGATAACATCTCTACTTCGATCAAACATATTTAGATCACATATATAAAGCCCATGTTCACTGAGTTGTTTAGTATCTCGTATACTGTATTTAAGAATAATGAAAATAAGAAAAACGTTTTACTTAAATCAAAATTAGTTTCTAGTCATAAAAATTCAAACTAACAACAGATAAAAATGAAGTGGGAATATAAATCTTCTCCTTAAGTTAGTTCTAGACTACTGACACCAATCAGCATTGTCAAATCGAGGTGATCTAAACACCGGGCTATCATTTTATTGTTTATTTCAGTCGAAATCTGCAGACGATTTTGTCAGATTGTCTCAACTTAGAGAACTGATTTGCTTGCCTTTGCTTGATTAACAAACAGAGGCGGTTAGTGTTAGAGGTCTGCATTTGTTCATGCCTGCCAGTGTTAGATATCTTTCAGATTTCCGTAATGAGAGATTTGGTGCAAATACTCGGTCCCCAAAGGAAATCACAGTAGGATTCCCCACTATTCATGTCTTATAGTATCATTTTAATCTCAAATCTGGGTAGTTTCTATTTTATTCCAATTAAGGACCCTTAAGTATAGCTTACGGAACATCATATTGAACGAAGCTTCAGATCTAGAAGTCTGAAATCTGATAATTCACGTCATTCAACTTCACAATAAATCAGTGTAATGATGATTCAGCATTCGTTTATGATGGACCTTAGAAAGAACTTCTCAAAGCTGTGGCAAGTAATTGTAACTTGTGGCATCGATACAGTTGAAAGTTAGAAATAAAACCCACGAGTATAACATTCGATGGATTCAGTTCTATGTGTCCAATCTACTTAAATAGTAAAACGCAGATTGTTGTACAAGCTGCTTTATGTAATATCTATGCATCTTAGGTTACACAACTCGCAGACATTAGGTTACGAACCAATAAGAAGTCACAAATTAGGTAAGAGTGAAAGTTGTCTATTCTTTATTGGTAAACTGGTTGCGTAATTGAAGTTGGTCGTTGATGAGACTCATTCCTAAAGTAAAAGGGAAAATAAAGTGAACTGAAGATACTAAAAATTAATTATGTAAAACTTAACAGCTATTAGGAAAAACATCTGTAAGATTATGTGTTACAAATTCTTGAAGGTTCTAAAATTTACTTGTAATTGTCAGAACTAGAGGTAGAAGATCCAATTTAAGAGAAAATGGTGAGACAGTTGTTGTTCAACTGGAATAACAGTACGTCAAAAGAAACCTGTGGATGGTTGATAGGATGCATTACGTCGATCAATGATGCAACCGGTTACCTTTCAGGGTTATTGAGGGACAATAGACTTCTTTAAGACCGAGATGATAGCATGAATCAGTAATTGAAGGTGAAAACATAACTGCGGTCGACGTCCACATGTTTCCCCTTCTTTTCCAGGAGTAGGTCGAGAAACAACTTAGCGACCAGTTTGGCCTTCACGTAGTAGGTAATGGGTTGTTATGAATGTGTAAGGATACTATCTTGCTAGTATAGACGTTTATGGGTGGATTTGTGTTTGAACCAAGCATCTAACTGCTTAAAGTCTAGTACCTAATCCAGGATAGATGGCAAACAAATTGCATTTAGACCTTGATTTTGATAGAGTTGTATTCTCTGGACTAAATGCTTTAGTCTTGAAGCTTTCATTGACACTCTAGACAGCATCATCAGCACAAACTTTAGATAGAAGTGAGCCGATTGGTTTTCTCCACAAGTAGCTTAGTAACATGCTGTGATGGCTTTGTGTATGATTAGTTGTTTTTGAAATTTTTACTTATTTTGATTAGTTTTTCTGCCGACATGAACATTGACCCTCTTGTTGCTTCTTATTAGTTGGTAGATTGAGTCAATGTAAGCATGACTACTGGTCGCTAACGGAACTGAACGTCAGGCCTCTAAAAATTCTCTTGTATTCTTTGAATTTTCTGTATCCAGGATTTCCACATTTTCTCAGTCAAATTCATGTTCACAGCTGTCCGTATGCATTGATTTGAGCAAAGATATATCATGAGATCTCACTGCTAGTTGACGGGTACGAAGAAGGCAACCACTTTTTCGGTATAATGTTTTTTCGCGGTTTCTGCAGTTTATTTTGAAGATAACATTTGGTTTGTCTTTCTTTACTCTTGTATCTTTTGGCCTGTATAACAGAGATTGAAGAGATTTTGTAGGCTTTTGAGCTACAGCAATTCTCAGAGGCTTCAATCATCTAGTCATAATCTTCTGATATGAATAAATAACCTGTACTGGCATGGAGGCATCATTAGCAGATAAGCTCTTACTTAGTAAATGATTATTATTTTACGGCATTTACAAATATGGAGCTTGCGGATAAAAAGCTACTGTGAGTCAAATTTAAAAGCTGTAGAGGTTAATCTTAGATATATTACTGTAATAAACAAAACCATCAAGATTTGCATATGGGTTCTGTGAACGAGAAACTAAAGTTAAACATAGATGAAAGCTAATAATCCCTAAGGTAGTATTCATTATGAACTTACACCGCTTGAAGAACAATTGCAAATCTGGGAGCACTGGATAACTACTTCGTCTTAGTATAGAGCTCCTCAGTATTAAACACAATGGATTTTCAACTGATACCAGTCTATGATGAATGCAACCTAAAAATAAGATCGCTATTATCCACAAAATACATTACTATATAGTGCTCATTATTGACAAATTTCGGAATGGATATCTCGAAGTTCTAGTGCGAAGCCTTGACCTACGGAGTCAACCAGTTGGAGGCGAAGTGGATGCAAACTGAATACCTTGGTGGATAGTCGCACTGTACCACGGATTGACATAATTAGGAGGCCGTGGAGCATTGAACCTGCACTTAGTGACTGGATCGTTAACGCGTCCACCGTGAAACCTGAAGGTCCTGAGTTCAACCTCCAGTAGAGTGGAGTCGTGGGTGAGTAATACTGAGGAGTTACATACTAGAGCGAAAAAGGTATCCTTCACTCTCAGGTTTTCAATGACTCTACAATTGTTCCCAGTCCATGACGAATACTACCTTAACAATAAGTGACACTGTTGGCAGCACAGTATTCAATGATAGACCACGAAGTGTATTAAGTGTAACTCCAGTGAATTTTTGTTTTGAAACTTCACTAATTATGATGACAACTACGTCAAAAGCAACTGTATCCGTGACAATAATAACATCGTAATCTATTTGATGGCTAGCTGTAGAGTCCAGTAGGCGCATTTTATTGGCTAGATGTTTTTGACCCAAGTGTGTGATGTTTTCCCCATCAAGACTCGAAACCAGTGACCATCCCGTCAAAAGGCCAAAGCGTTGTCCACTGTCTCACTAGGGGATGAGAATCACCACTTGTGTAACGGATATAAGCTTCTGTTCATGGATATTTGTAATTTCTGCATCAAAGTGCTTGATGAAGCTTTGGCATTTGAAGCACTAGGTATTGCATTAGATTCTCAGTGACTACTGTACCATTCACTGGGTTGTAGGTGCATCCAGCTGATGAGACCTAAATCGAAAGAAACGTGCGTCCTGGATGCCACTGCTAGCTATCAAGTAGACTATCATATAATGAATATCCATAGGGTTTCCAGGCATCTGGATAAAAAACTATTAGGTGATAGAGACATACAAATTCGACCGAGTATAGTAACAGGAAGTAACAAGAAATAATAAACAACAGTGATAATAGCTTTATTTGGAAAAACAGTTCCATCGAAATGGAATGTTACTTTTAAACAGCCTAAAATAATACAAAGCATAGGGATGATTATCGACTTACGATGGTGCACCTAAGAATAAAACCATATTCCATTCTTCAACGAAGCGCATTTCACCTCTAAATTTACACGCTGTCTGACCAGATACCAATTGTTGACATGTTTCTAAAGTTAGGCAGAATGAAATAATATTATAAAGCGAGACAGTAGTCACATGTTATCAATTCATAATAAAAAACAAGTTTAATAAGAGAGTACTATATATTCCATCAAGTTAACAAGTTTTCCTACATTGCTGTATTCAAATCGTTGAATGATGAATTTGTTGATTTGGTTTAGAGTAACTCCAAAGGCTATCCTAACAATTACTGAAATGATCAATTAGATATCTGTATTTTGTCTGAAAGCGCGTTCTTCGACAAAATACAGAAATCTAATTGGTTATTTTAGTTGTTGTTTGAACGATCTTTAAAATCATTCGGTTTAAAGGAGTGACTCTGAAGGTCACTCTGGCAACTGTTAAAACAACCAGTCAGATTTCATTGTCTCGCCTGGGAAGATAGTTTTTCAAAAATAAATAAGCGTAACTGGTTATCTCAGAAGTTGTTCACATTATTCCATGGCAACTCCTGGTTATTTGTATATTTTATTCTGAAACCTAAATATTGTGGAATATATATATATATATATATATATATATATATATATATACAAACAGAAGTTGCCATGGCATCACCAATATCCCCTATTGTGGCTGACATATTTATAGATAGTTGGGAACGGATGACTGTAGAAAAATTGAGTTCGGCTCCAAAAATATAGTTTCGGTATGTTGACGACACTTTCATAGTGTTGAAATCGGAACATATACATAATTTCTTCAAACATATAAATTCAGTAGTCAACGCAATCCAATTCACCTATGAATTAGAAAATAGCGAAGGAGAATTAGCGATGTTGGATTGCACAATAAAACGGAAACAAGACGGGAGTTTAGACACTAGTGTCTACAGAAAACCTTTACATTCAAACCGTTACTTAGACTTCAAACCGTCTGACTCTATGTCAGTTGAAGTTAGCTTGATAAAGTGTCTAAGTAACAGGGTCAAAAAACTTACTAGTAACACAGAAGATCTAAAACAAGAAACCAGATACATTAAAGACGTCCTAATCACCAACAATTGCCCTCCCAAATTAATTGATAAGCTCCTTAGGAATCGTAAGAAAAATATCAGTAACACAGTTATTAATAGTAGTAATAATCGTGGTAATAACAGAGAAAATAATAATAATAGTGTTGATAATGATGTTAATGATAGTAGCGACAATACTGTGAATAGAGAATTCAAAACCACTACAAAGAAGGCACCTCGGAAACACTACGTAGAACTCTCAATAGGGCCGGGATTAGAGTAGCACTTAAACCTACAAATTCGCTTCGAAATAAGCTTTGTAGATCCTGTTGACCCAATTCATTTGATTATTGAAGTCTTCTCGTAGTTCTCTTACGTACAGCTGAGATAAAACTAACCAAGTTTTTTACTTATGTGTAACATTCATATACATATCAGACATGTCTTCCTAATAAAAGCACGTATTACTGAGAACAGAAGTACGCACATATTAGGATGCGTTATTCCCCTTAATGCTATTTCTGCAAGTCAGCTGTCCATGATGAATAATCACGTCTTCGTTCTGTCTACCTTCCATATGACCAATTCGAACACATCCAACAGAGTCTTTATGCCACTGACCTTCCTTTCCGCAGAAACAGTACTCTATTCAGTTTCCTAAACAGAAACCAATAGTAACAGATAACTGAAACAAAAAAAGTCTGCAGTGCTAATAGTACTGTCATCAGAAATCTTACTTAAGCTTAATAAGTTAGATCGTAGAATCACTGCATATGAATTCCAGAAAAACTTGACACAAAGCAGTTTACTGATGCACGCTGAGATATATTATGTCCATCTAATCTTTGAAATCTGGATTTCAGAAAAGGTGAGGTTGAAGCCTCATATGCTACCTCACTTCCAACTAAAATTGGAGTTAATATAATCCCTATGCAACAAACTGTGGTAACAAAGTTTGGATAGCTCCTAAAATTAAAAAGGCTTGGAGTGTTTATGATTTATGCATCACCATAGTAATTGGTAGCTACCTGAATGATATTTTGTAGTTTTCGCAGGTTAAAAGTTTTTCAGAAATCATAATTCAAACAACAACTGCAGTCACGTGTTTACTCAATTCTATCAGACTTAAATAACAAGCGAATTTATGCTATTTTCACATTTTAGAAAATGACAACGAAAAGGAAATCGGAAAAGTCTTCACCAACAACATACTAGCCTGCAAATGTGCTGGTGCCCTATTCTCAGTATATGGTCTTTATCCAGAGCCTTTTTCATATACATTTTGTGATTTTCATTTTATCGATACTTTGGATGTTGAAATTTTACATTACCTTATCTATCTTCATTCAATATTTTGTAGTCAAAGCATATATTTAATATACTTTGATTTCGTTCTGTCCGCAACCAGAAAGCATGAGATCAATAACCAGACAATTACGAAAATCCTTCACTTGTCTATCTTCGTTCTTACTTATTGACATTCTGATTAAGCCATGTACACCTTTGAGTAGTTTTACATTTCTAAAAGATTTTGCTAAATAAAATATTTATCTTCTCATTATGTGCGCTAACTTCTTCTCTCTGAATCAATTTGTTTAACGTCAGTGGCTATAAAATCAACTCCCACAGAGTAACTCAGAGAATAATAATAATTGGGACCAGGATTGGGCACTTCCATCAATTCATTGATTATAGGACCGAATAAGAAGCTCACTTCGAGGTTGGGATCAGTGCCAACGGTCAGACAGCCGAGTCATGAACTTAACAGATTGTAATAATCATTATACTTTTCGTTTATATGCAGCAAACGAATATTTATACAATGAAACAATATAATTTTAACGATAAATCCGGTTCTGTTTACTTTGTATCAAAAATGCAATAAAAAGATAAAATACATTAAATTATGTGCAAGATGTTGTTTTCTTACTCCTTCAGTGTAAAATGGCTCATTGTGGTCGAATCTTAAAAGTCAGGGTATTAGCTTCTTGGTATGTATGATGAACTATTCTGATACTATAAAACGGTAAACAACTTCTGAGATAACAAAAAATCTTCGAACAATGTCTCATAGACGCCCATTTTATGTTAAAATTTGCGATTGGTGAGTTTTAATCACAACCACTCGATAATGATACCACTAGAGTTTCCTCTAAAAACAATTAATCCTTATATATTACCAGCATTAGTGGATATTATCGCTGTTTGATATGTTAATTAGCCCATCGAAAACACTGAATGGTTTGCAGGATAACATCGTCAATGAAGTATAGACGTCTGATGGTCAGCTATTCCCCTATTAGTCTAACTATTTTAGTTTTTAAGCTATTGGAATAGCGTACCCATAGTGTAATCCTGCTGTACGTCGAGGAGAATGCGTTTTTAGGTACACAACAAGATGGGTTTATGTCCAGTTACTCATGCTTAACAGGTTGAACCGCTTTCTTATATGTAAATGTTTCAATGGATGTATTATTCATTGATTTTGGCAGAGCAATGACAAGATATTTAGACTACATCTTAAGATAAAGCTGAAAAGCTGTGGAGTTGCCGATGTAGTTTTGAAGCTAAGTTAGGGATCTTCTCTGTGATGAAGATGGAAAATAAGGGGAATAGGGTTCTTGCCCTCTTACAAAACAGTGGAGGAGTAGAGTGCCTGAGCATGCTATCTAATACTAACCTCACATCATACTCTATGCGGATGAGTTGATCGGGTGGAATTGGCCTTGCATCATGTTTGCAGACCATGTTGGACTCTTGAGAGCTGTTCAAAGAGATGAAGAAGATAGGCTGCTCCTACGGGACAACGTAAATGCTATAGCAGGTTGATTCAGGTAATAATGTCTAGAAATTGATACCACCAAGAGTGAAGTCATACAAATCGGTAAAGAAAACCCACATGACTGCTTCATCAGTGACATGCTGCTCAAAGTAACTGAATGAAAGAACTTACTTGTCGCAACCAATCTTGGCTTTACAACACTTAGAGAATAACGCTGATATGGATAAATGAAACTTCTCTTATAAAGCAAGTTCTAATGAATTTATAATTCCGATTGTGGCATCAAAAACAAGATATTCAGCGAAGAGGACTCTTTTCAACGAATTTTTTCTCAAGCCGATTGAGAATAAATTCGTTAAAAAGAGTTCTCTTCGCTAAATATCTTGTCTTCCCAAGTTCTAGAGACCATTGATAAGATATTGTAAGATTAAATTCAATGTTATTTATGCAGCGGCAGGCATATTTTAATTTCCACGTAGATTATCTTTCTGTTTCTTTTACTTCTGCACTTGTCTTCTCTATTTGTTTTCGTCATTCCTCCCTCTATAACTTGACTGGTTGAATGTTTGCTCTTATACCCTTTCCCGGTGACAGCGTGCCACAGACTCCCTATAGACACTCATACAGGTAAACTACTTCACATCAGTATGGATGACAGCGGATCATTCACAGCTTTTGACGCATCTATTTTTCATTGAAATGTATAAAATGATCCAGTGGAATTCGAACATAGTTAATCAACTCAGGATGTGAAACGCACATATATTCGAACTACGCATGAATGACAACTACTCTTGTATGTTCCTAGTGCTTCACTGAGCCGAAATGTATCGGAAGAAAAAGGTTAGCCAGTGAATGCGACTGTGATCCTTACTCAGAAAAATACTTGCCACAAACATACTACTTTCGTAGGCGCGAAATGATTCTAAGGAGAGGCCTAAGTAGCATTTTCTCAGTGGTCCATTCAAAAGAACATACCTCTCAGTTAAGTTCATCGTAACTAAACCGTTGTAAAAAAGCCTAAAATCTTCTTTATCACTAGCCAGTGGCTTCAAATGTTGATTCCTGTTTCTGGACCTTTCTTATGAATAAATACCAACAGTTGTGCATAGAGTTTTGAGGTATAAAGACATTCTGTTATTGACCTTCAGTTGAAAATATTTAAGATGTATTGAAAGTGAGAGTCACGCTTTCAAACAAAGAGGTCTTGTTTTTGATATTTTCTGTGGGAAAACGATGATACCACTTTATAGTAGCATTAAACGTTTAGTAAATTAGCAACATTGCTTCGAATTTTCGTACATATGAAAGTGAAACATTCACTGACATGACAAATTCACTATTATGTTGAAGGATGCAAAATCCCCATAAACCCCAAGCTGTATTATTATGTGGTCCTTATTAGTGACATGCTTTGAGATGGGTGTACTGAATTTCTAATGAGAATTCGTGACCGGCCAGGTTAACCAGTCGGAAGTGGAGCGGTTGCAAACTGAAGATCTTGGTTGACGGTCCCACCATATCGCGGACTGACGTAAGCAGGAAACTGCGGAACATTTAACTCCGACCCCGTGACTGAATGGTTAACGCGTTCACCTTGAAACCTGAAGGTCCTGAGTTTGAAGACCCCTGGTTGGGAGGGTTCATGAGTGCGTACTGCTGAGAAGTCTCAAACTGCAATGAAATATCTGCTCAGTGCTCTAAAATTTTTAGTAGTTCCCCAACTGATGTCAGTTTGTGATGAAATCAACCTTAAAAATTACTGTCTTTTAAGAAGAAATATTATTTAGTATGGTTATCATAAGCTAAACTTACTTTTCAGACCTGGATCACTCATCAGTACCAATTCGAATGTGTTATGCGTATGCAGTTTAATCTGGAAGAGAAATTGACACATAAAGAGATTGGTAGTTGATTAATGAATAAATAACAGTGGTAATTTTAGCTTAAAATTTAGTTAAGCTTCCAGTTACGTTGAATCGGAATGCAACTGCAGGATCTAACGGTGTTTATTATCCAGCCTTATCCGTAATATACGAATAGCAAACATATAAACCTTACCAAATCGTTTCTGCTAAGTGATTGATCAAGGTGATTTTACCGAAATACTCTGAATGTCAGAATTCAAACAAACTGAAACGAAAGTATTGTGCTATTGAAACTTATGACTATACTTCACACTCAATCGGTAACCCTTGACTGGTATTTAAGACTTGAAAACTACAACTGCTACTGTCATTTCCTAAGGTGCTTCACAGACTTCTATCAAGAACCAGGAAATCAGCAATCTAGTCCCCAAATTCAGTACTTCTAGCCACTACATTAGAATTTTCAGGGAAAAATATGTTTCTCAATTTTGTATAAATGCTCAGATCATGATTAGTTTCTAGTATCGACAAGAAAATAACTTATAAGGCGTCGTACCAACTGATTTTAAACATATAATGGAGTTTCTGTATTGTTTAAACTTACGACTTTCATTGACGTTCCTCTCGATACTTTGCTTTTCATTATTGGTTTCATTTGTCATGACTGCTGGCCAACTTCAGTTCTCCAGGATTGTATGTCGTAACTTATTGTATGCTTCGTTTTATACAGTTGATTAGATCAAGGAATTTAAAGTTCTAAAAATGATTAGCCATATCTAATACATTTTATTTTTATCGAAGCTATATTTAGATTAATATAATGATGGAAAAGACTTGTGGCTCAGGATGAGAATGGTGGTGGTTTGATGTTCTCTGAGCTTTACTATTTTGTCGTGAACGTTTCCTTACTCAGCTTAGCGAAATCTTTAGCGCTAACTTTATAAAGAAGTGAAGCATGATAGAATATTACACGAATGTTTAGACAGTGTTTTTTTTTGTTGACTTTGGGTGTTGTCCAGTTTTTAGTTAGGGAAGAGATTTTTTTATCACTGACCTCTTTGACCTTAAATTTCCTACAGTCACATCATTAGATATTCTTTATCAGAGTGAAACTGTGCTGCTTGTTGTTGTCGCATTGTAGATCAATCTTCACTTGTCCTGTCAATTTGCCCTTGGTTGGGGAATGACTGATTCCTTTCTAAGTAGATTGAAAATTGTGTCCATATCCACATGTCTGCTGACTGAAATTTTGTTTTAATTTTATGATTCCAGAAATTCTCATGCAGCTTTAGAACCTCGTCTTTGGAGGATTTCCACATTCTTCCAGTCCAGTTTGTGATTGTGATCGTCTGCATGTATTGAAATCAAGGAGGTCGCGACCTCCACGGACACCGTAGTTGGTGTCCATGAATTCGTTGAACAATCCGACGGCTAGACTGGTCAGCTTGATGCTGTGAACAACTTTCGCCATTGATTTCGGGGATTGTGTTTGTTTCGTCTTCTTTTGGCAGTGGATTCTTTGGTTTGTACAACATGCTGTGTGGTGGTTTAGTTGGTTTGTATGCTACCCTAATCCCGAAGGACTAAGCAATCAGTTGACTGCTTCTAAGATGTCTATCGTGTAGGGCAGTGTATTGTGCTTATTGGTTTGAGACAGCTTGACTGTCTTCTGCCCTGCTAATAAACACTTTCCAATACAGTTGGATGGATAATCACTGTCTTTGAACACTTCGCACAGGTATTTTTCTTCGACTTCCTTCAGTGCTTCAGTGCTTCAATGTATTTTGTCTTTTGAGAATAATGTTTGTACACAACATTTCTTATGGACTGTAGGATGACTGCTGTTGTAATTCAATAGTTTATCTGTGAATGTGGTTTCTCTGTACACTTAAGTTCTTAAAGTTGGATCGTGTGTTCTGCTGATGTGGAAATCTAAGGATGGAATTTCTTCATTGGATTCCTTCTCTTTCGTGAAGTGAATTCCTTCAAGTGTTTTGCTGATTAATTTGAGAATTACCAATCCAACTTTTTGGCAGTTTATTATGATACAAAACAAGGTTGGGACAACAACATCAACATTATAATATGCAAAGTTTTACTGTGACTTATTCTGAATTTTAAATTTTTTATCATGGTTCGAGGTCTCTCAAAAAGCCAGTGAATGTGTGAAAACACTGAACAGTTATGTCCTTTTAGTTTCGCACTCTCCAGCAATTTGGATCCACAACCGTATTTGGGATCAAACCCAGGGTCTTCATATGTTACTGTGAGCACGCTATCAATCAACAGTTGACTCACACCTTTTCAATTCCGTTGATTCGTAGCATATTGTGACCTATAATTAGTGGTAGCATCGAACATTTGTCCCGCACTCTACTTGACTGACTCCAGGGGTCATTTTATCCATTGAAGTAAGTCACCAGTAAGCATAGAATAGTCATTCAATTTCGAAAACTCTTTTAGGATTGGTTGATTCCCTGATTATCTCTATATCCAATGGGTAGAATTTCTCAATATCTTCAATGTATTATGAATTAAAATTGTGCTTTAAAATTTGGAGAAACTTTATCTGATCCCAGTTCTATTGAAGAAAACAGTGAAGTTGAATTGAATTCCTGTGATTGAAAATAATGGTATATAAAGCTTAGTGTTGCAGTCTTCCTCTTTTATATGCTTTTGCCGTGATCATTGGATAAGAGTATTCATAGAATTTTATGCTGTGCTGAATATTTTCTCATCTCAATTTTAGTAAGTGTAAAGGTTTTTTGTACATAAGGATCTACGAGTGTTATGATTTATATTGATATAGGTAAATGAGATAATCTTAGCTGGTAACAGGAACTCTTACTGCTTTAAACTCTCGATCTTCTCAATGACAAACTGCTGCCACATGCTAAGACATGCAGTCACATACTGGTTTCTTTTTTGTCCCGTGTAAATGCTTTCGCATGTATCCGTAACCCAGGATGGCACAGAAGTGCAACTTTTCTGACCATAGATTGTCTCAACAATTTTTTGATGAAGAGTGACTAACCACTCAGTTAGCTAGGTTCTCTTTAAGTCTGGACTTGTTCCGTGGTTCATTCTTCAAGAGATCTCATCACCTTTGAAATCTAGTTTCATACAGACACGTTTCTCCTCAGCCATGACGTAACTCTCAATTCTAGTTGGTTTTTTTCGTATTTATCAATCAATTTTTGTGGACACTGATTATCACAGAGGCACTTTTGGATAATTTTCGTTTATTCTATAATCCTATCTTTGATGTAAAACATTATAAAACTCAGATACATATTCCTCCACGAATCTGTGTGGTGAATGGACCTGTATGAGTTGTAACGTAAGTTTCTTTCATTTCCAAGATCAAAGATGAACACTTCTCATTACTTTACAATACTATCTCAAAGTCTACATACCGTTACATATGTGTATATGAAAGCACATACCTCTGACAATTCGAGAGGAAGGCTTGTGGCAACATGACTCAGCATGTTATGAGAAGTTCCCAACTGAGAGGAGCGATGAAAATTTCTTTACCCTGAAATTATTAACTGTGGAGAAAACTTTATGAAACTTGACAATAAGCTCTCTTACGTTACTTTTAAAAATGTAGATAAATTTAATTCTGACTCTCCAGACTTAGTTTTTACTTCCTATGGAGTCAGCTGTAACGAATTAAATGTTTTGTACAAACCCTGTGCACATGGATTGTTACAGATACTCCTCGTTAATGTGTACCACCAGGCTAGAAACCTAGTAGCTTCAGGGCTTTCCGTCAATAGGCTCTTAGCATCTAACATCATGGTACAGAGCATCATAGTACCACATCACTTGGTTGAATGGTCAAATTGCAAATATCATCGACAAGGCTCAATCATTATTGAGTAAAAAAGACTAATGAGCACTATATTAGATTTTCATTGCCATTTGACTATCTGAGATAGCCGTAGTTTAGCAAACTAGTATTTATATTAGATGACGATTGAAAGTGAAGTGTAAATTTAGACTGCGGACGGACTCGAACCAGAGACCACTGGTGGTCGTAGGAAAACATAAGAAACAATATAATAACAGCACTATAAATAGAAATAATCGCGACAACACAAGTAGAAAAAACTTCAGTGCCTCTGTTGTTACTGTGTAAGGAAGTAACATTAGAAACTTTACTTAGGATTCTCAACAAACCTGGAATTAGTGTGGCATTCATACCTACAAACTCACTCAGAGATAAGCTTTGTCAGCTTAAGGATCAGATAAAATCAATTTAGCAAAATAATCTACCAAATTCCATACAATGACTGCGAGCTCAAGTACATAGGTCAAGCTAGCTGGTCAGGATCAATTCGAATATCGGAACTTAGGGATTTAGCTAAATATAGAATGACAGACCTGGATAAGATCAATGCACTAACATACAATTACATGATAGGATGGGTGGGATAAAGCCATTGCACTTAAGTCCAATATAATTAGGCGGAGAGAGAGAGATTGATTACTGAGTCTTTGTTCATTGAACCAACACACAATACATGTAATAGAGAACAGTCATTCAACACGTACAGAAGAGATATGTAAAATTTTACTACTAATAAAAACAATGAATTTGAGGTGACAGGACAGGTAATATGATTACACTGAAATGATTATGAACAATAATTTATTATCGAAACATCATCGAGTATATATTACTTTATCTCTGTGTATTATAAAGCCTATAAAGAAGTCTGATATGGAATTACATCTTATCATAGTGCCCAACTTTTACACTTAATTGATGAGACTGGTGAGTAGTTGATTATTATCTTATTTTGTTTGAAGCTTTAAAGATGTTGATTATGAATTAACTTTCAAAACTTCTGACTTTGACATCCTATTAAAAAAGAATGTTTTAAGATAAAGTAAAACCATATTTGTATGAGAAGCCCAAACCCTTTACTATAAAAACCAAAGTATCTGATTCCAGAAAAGGACATTATCCAGCTGTTAACTATAGGATGTTGTTTCTTGG